AACGATATAATTTGTCTGTCTTTCACCGTGGAATGCGCCTGTAATTCTTGTCAAGAAGAAAGATAACACAACTCCCTTTCTGTGCGACTTTTGCAGTGTCAACAATGTCACAAAAAAGGATACCTATCCATTGCCTCATATTAAAGACGTCATTGACAAGATGGCTGGTTCAGAATACTGGTCCACATTAGACACGGCATCCGCCTACTGGTCCATTCCATTGTCAGAGACTGATAAAGAGAAAACAGCATTTGCCGTTCCACGAGGAAAATTTGAATTTAATGTCATGCCATTTGGTTTGTCTAACTCCAGTGCGTCGTATCAACGCATGATGGACATGTGTTTGTCAGGCTTGAGGACAGATAAGGTTTTGTCGTACATGGATGACATAGTGATATTTAGTGACACATTTCATGAACATATGCGTGACTTGAAGCTGTTTTTAACTGCCTGAGAGCAGTCAAAGTAACATTAAAAACATCAAAATGCGTTTTTGCTGATCAAAAAGTTGATTTCTTAGGCGTTGAACTTTCTGTTGCAGGTATTAAACCACAAACACGCTTGACCAATGCTAGTAACCAATTTCCGCATCCTGAGTCAAAAAAAGAGTTAAGGCGTTTTCTTGGCATGGCTGGGTTTTATAGAGCCTTTATCAAGGATTTTGTAACTATCAGCCAACCACTCAACAAACTTCCGGGCAACAATGTTAAGTTTACATGGGACTCATCTTGTGAAGCAGCTTTTCAGGAACTAAAAAAACATTTAATGTGTGAGCCGATTTTGGCATTTCCTAAACTTCATAACCCTTTTGTAGTTGAAGTTGATGCAAGTGACTATGCGGCCCGTGGTGTGTTATCTCAAACAGGCGATAATAAAGTTTTGCACCCTATTGCATACTTTTCTACAGCTTTTACTGGCTCACAACGCAACTGGCCACCAATTACGAAAGAGGCTTATGCGTTAGTTCTCGCTGTGAGACATTGGCACGTCTATTTATCGGGTACAGAATTCATCTTACGCTCTGATCATAACCTGCTAGTGCTTCTCACAAACCAAAAAGATCCATGCGGCAAATTTAGACGCTGGATAGCTGAGTTGGAAGAGTATAATTATACTGTGGAATACATTCAAGGAAAAGACAATGCAAAAGCTGATTTTTTGTCTTGTAACCCTGCTGCCAATCCAATTCAACCACACTCGCTCTTGACGATAAGGTTTTTGCTATAAATAGTAACAGTACTGCTCTTGTTGACCAATTAAAACAGGAGCAAAGTGCTGACCCTGTGATAAGTAAAACTAAGCGACTCATCGAAAATGGAGAAACTATAGGTCAGGGTAGAATCAAACGTTTGAGAAATCAGCTTCCAGTTGAGAACAATATTATAACAAAATGCGGTCGGCCGGTAGTGCCAGCTTCACTAAGAAAATTCATAGTGACATAGATACAACAAACAGCCAACTTCGGAACAGATAAAACATACTCGCTGCTCAAAAACAGATTTTTTTGGCCAAATATGTATGGCTATGTACATAATTTGGTATCTAAATGTGATTCGTCTCCGCCTAAAGCACTGCTTACTCCGATGGCAATTCCTGAAGCACCAATGCAGTCTATCACAATTGATATAGCGTTTATGCCTAAGGATAACCACGGTTTCCAGTATTTTCTTTTTATCGGTGACGTTTTCTCGAAATACATTGAAGCGGTACCACTCAAAGATCAGATGACTCCTACTATTGCCAATGCGTTGTTGTCACATTGGATCTATATTCATGGACCTCCATTTTACATGCTCAGTAATCAAGGTTCTAATGTCGATGGCACCATGATCAAAGTGAGCTGCAATATCTTAGGTATCGAAAAGCGTCGATCGTCCGCATACCATTTGAAAGGCAATGGGTTCATTGAGTGTAATATTCGAAGTGTTAAAGACATGTTGCGCTCAATTCTACTAGAGCCAAAAGCACAACAGTCCAAATGGAAATCTCATTGCCAGAACTTGTGTTTGCCTTGAACACCAGTCTGAGCAAAGCTATTAAGTGCACACCGTACAATTTCTTGATGTCAATACTCCGGCTGACTATGCCCAAGATCGTAGTTTTGCCTTCTGCTCCGTTTTGCTTTTGACCACACGCGCAAACAGGTGTTTTTGCAGTTTTCTGTTAAAGGGCCTCTCCAGCCAAATTTTTATTGGCAATTTTTATAAAGAAGTTGAGCCTGCTGATCACGAATTCGTTATTTGTTTTTCGATATTTTTTACAGTTTGTGAGATATAAGCTCTTGCATTTCAATAATTTGATTGAATTAACCGACAAAAATTTTTGGTTTGGTGACACTGTGACGCAATTTTGACGTCACAGTGTACTTCGGATAGTCTCGCCTCAAACCGAATCGAACGACGGCGATTCGCAAATTGAACACTGCAAGTGATGGTACTTTCAGTTCTGTTCCGCCAGCTTTTAGTTTGAGCATTTCAGACACCAATTCTGAAGCCTTTAGCTGTTCATCGTTTCTGGAGAACAACTGAAGTGACAATTTCGATTAATTATACGCGAGGGAGGAACTGGAACTGGATGCAGTTATCAACGCGTGACCATGAGTCCTTCATGCTTCTGTGGAAGATATACGAAATTCATGGCAAACGAGAGCCGCACATTGTGACGTCAGAATGTCACCAAACTGATTCGGCTTTTGTCGTTTTTTTTCTCGGAAAGGTGCAACTTTAAAGCCTTACAACTTCTAAACTAATTGGAATTTTTCAAAAACAATCACTTTGTCATAATACACGCACCAGATGCTAACTTTTAAGTCATTAAAAAAAATTTTTTTTTGCTGGAGAGGCCCTTTAACATCAATTTCCCATGGTCTCATGATTTTTTATCCTTTCCCGTGTTACTTGATTCGCACTTTTGACCACAATATGATTTTTCCAATTTTCGGAAGTGATGTTTGGCTTTTGACTGAGTGCTCCATTCAACTTAGCGTCTCGTCTTTCAGCTAAGTCGCCATTAGCATGTTAAGTGTAATAACTGATTTCCTGTCAAAACGTAATTAGGCCCTGAAAGCAAGTAGCTGTTGGAAACAATTTTTACTTGCTCTTGTAACTTTGGAGACTTACGACGACTTTTAAAAGATGGCTGCTAAGGGCAACAAAATCTGTTATGTATTGATTAATTGAGTTTTGCTCTTGCAAGTATTCGAGTGGCTTTTTCCTTCTTGCTCCTTTTACCAATTTTATCAGGTTTGTACTTCAAATTTTCTTACAAGTGAGATCGCACGCGCAAATTTGTTTACATGTGCGATTTGCCACACACGCCTAATTTTGCTCACGAAAAGGACTGACTAAGCCAATAATGAACATAGTTTATTGAAAGTGCAACACCAGAAGTCAAAATCTTGAGATATATTTATTTGAACAAGGTAATACTAGGAACTGGAAATGCTGTCCAATAAAGTATGTTTTACATTAAGTTAGTACACACAGTAAAGGCAGATAGAATCTGTTTTTAATGCATGTTAAAATGCAGTATTTGGTATGATGTAATCTAGTATGACAGGAGTTGGAGTAATGGAGTAGTCTTTCAACAAGAAAAAAGATGAGAAATGCATTCGTTTGCTTATTTTAGCGAGCCTATTACCAGACTAAGTTTTGATGGAATTTTTGTTTGGATAAAAAGCTAATTTTGGTTAACATTCCTGTGGAAGGAAATATTATGAGGGCGCAAAGTTATATTCATTTTCCTTGGCAAAAGAAAGTGCCTCTAAAAGCTAAGCAAAGGGAAGTTTAGTATAAAGTGTCAGGTCTCAGATTATTCAAATTTAAATTTGATGGATCTACTAAATAGACAGTCATCCCAAAGTAATTTTTCTTCCATGTATTTCCAAATGATGAACAATAAATCTAAAACAGATATACAGACTTTGACTCTGATGCAGAAATATTTTACTCTAAATCAGTGCAATTATCATATGCCAAAAATATGATGCATTTAAGAGAGCTAGCATCCAGAAAGAAGTTGACTAGCCTTAGCAGTCTACTTTTGTTACTAGAAAAGGTTTTTGCCCATTTCTTTGTCCAAGTTTCTATGGCTTGTATACTCTGAAAGTGCCTGCATTTTTAGTAATTTCATTGGTCAACTTTCGTTAATAATTCTCTTCTATGAGGAGTCTTGTGCCCTTAAATTTTTATCAATAATTTGGATGTCCACGAAACTACACTTCTTTCTATAAAATTCCACATGTTAAACCATTAGAAAACCAAGCACAATTTGCCACACATTTTGTCTTGATCTTTGTGTTATCTTTCCCTGCATTACCCAATTTTCAATTACTAGTGTTGCTATGCTTGTTAAGTAATTCTTTAATGTTGCATCATTGTTGTTTTTTGGGCAATAATATGAGGGGGCAAGCCTATTTTTTTGATAAGATGACATCACATTTGTCCATTCTTTTTAGAATAAAAGACCTCTGTCTTCCCAAAATGTTGGGGAACAACTACCTCCCTTCATCCCCCCTGGGTGTCTGCCACTTCTTATTGTTTGTTTCTATTTCTCCTCTTAAAATTTCAATAAGTTTAATCATTGCATCCATAAAAGATAGAAAACAATTTCTTAGGCGTTTCTGGGAAATGGGCGTGGTCGGTCGATCATAATGGGTTTTGAGAATGTCATATTTTTGTCTGGATCCGCCCCTGCCTATCACTGCCATTCAACTTTTTAAAAATAAATTAGAATTAAATGAAAATTGAATAGAATTGAATTAAATTAGAATTTTTTTAATAAAAAACAAATAAAAACCAAATCAAATTCTGCAATAAAAGTAAATTTTCATTTTAAAAGAAAATTGATTTTATATCAAAATCAAAACAAAATCATTTAATACTGAAAACGAAACTGCATGCAAAATGAATTCCTTCTGCCCTATCGCTGCCACAGTATACCATAATGCTTTGCGGTAACTTTCGGTCTTTGATTTGTTTTATTTCCAAGATGGCGCATGAATGTCACCAGGGTCACAGAAATATATAAGCAATAATGAATGGAAGCATGATATCGATCTTAGAAGAGCCATCGAAAAATTTGTTAAACGAGGAATAAAGCGAAAGGAAATGTTAAGTTTTTTGTGCCATGATTATCCACAGTATTCATGGAGCATCCGTTCCATTGACAGGCAACTGCGATATTTTGAAATCTACTACACTGGTAACAATAGAGACTTTCCGATCGCCTACGCAGCAACGACGGGGACGTTTGCGAGGCCTGGAAATGGCGCAGCCGCTCCATCCGCCTGCACATGTGAAAAATGAGATTCCGATTTTACAACGGGGACGTAGAATGGTGCCAAAGTCAAACAAGCTAAAAATGGACGACATGTTGTCTTTATTGCACGATGAGGGCAATATCAACGGCAAAGAGACACCTCTTCTGTTAGAGCACCATAATAAAAAATTTGCACGATGGCCTTCCGTATTTTAAGTGAACGTTGGGAACATTACATCATCTTTTTTCTATCTGCAGCAACCAGTTTTTGAAGAATACTTCAGATAAGGAAAACACTTTTTCTTACAAGCTATTAAACAGCTTTTTAAAAGCTTTCAAAGCCACCAAGTTTAGATTTATCTTATCACACACGACAGAAAACTCCAAGTATGTGTATTGTTGATAACCTTCTGAAAGTTCTAGAAAAATTATTAGCAGCCATCCTGATCTGCAATACACCACTTCGACGGACCGCTGCCTCGCTTTGTTCTGGGGACTGGGCCGAGTTTTGGGGTGAAAGATTTTTGGCTTTGTATGTGAATACCGATGAAAACGGTGTGCTGTACTTGATCGTCGAGAGATTTTTCTTTGTTTTCAACCACTGTTTTCATTCGTAATTTGCGCTTACTTGCTGATTTGTGATTTGTTATCTTTGGAAGAGTTTTTTTGAGAAATATTTTGAGTACGGACAATTCACAGAATTGAGAGAAGTTTAGGCCACTGCGGGTCACAAAATGGTTAACGGGAATTGTGCTGTGGTTGGCTGCAAAAACAGCAACTACAAGCTGAAATCATGGAAGAAGAAGCAATGTGAAGAGCATGTTGGTGTTCTACGCATTTCACGTACTGGTTGTTAGTAATTTAGTAGTGCTTCTTACAGCAGTATCTTGCAGTAGTAATGATATAACAAGGTAGGCTGATAAGCAGTACTGGATTGCCAATCGTATGTATATTTTCAAAGTTTACAAAGTAGGGTGCATTCTATGTCAACTGTACGCCGAAGGTCCACCGGGGCATTTGTTTAGGTACGCCGAAAATATAAAAGCAGTTAATATAAAAGAGAGGGGCAGTGCGGGTGAATGACTCGGCCATGGGTGTTGGCTTGAAAGCACGACCCGATAGCTCAGCGGTAGAGCACTTGACGTACAAAGTCAGGGGTCGTGAGTTCGAGCCTCGCTCGGGTCGGTTATTTTCCCGCACTCTCTATTAATAAAAGCAGTTAGTAGAACAACAAACATTGTTGCGCCAGGAATAGAAAACTGATTATTAAAGAAAACTGTGGTGTAGGAGTCGTTAACTATGTACATGGCTTCATGTTTAGCATGCCAACTAACGAAACTTTTTAGTACGCAAACAATTTTTTTATTGTTTTGCACGCTGAAAGCCGAATAAAAACCTGGCTGTACGCCGAAAATCTTTGGGCACTTAGGAATGCACCCTGGTGAAGTAGGCTAGAAGAGTGTGGGCCCAAAAAAAGAAACAACTTGGACTCTTCCTTGTGTTTCTTATTTGCAGGTTTTTATTGTAATTTAGCATTATTTACAAGCTATATACAGAATTTGGAAATGCAATGTTTATTATTCTCTTTCTATTTTTGATAAATAATCATCATAGCATTTTCATTAAGGTGTGCTTGCAACAAATGCAGTGTTGGAAGACTAGTTAGTGCTAGGGAGTATCGTTGTTGCCGAGAGGTCCATGCAGCCTATGGAAAAGTGGTTTTTGATGGACTTTCCGACAGTCTAAGCTGCATTACAGAACACGAAGACTTCAAGGCACTTGTTAACAAAGAAGTGTTAAAAATTGTTGGTCCACTTTTAAAGCAAAAAAATGGAAAGCCATATAAAAAACATGCTGGTGTATCTGAGAATGAGTAAGTATTTTTAAATTTATAGGGTTAAAGTTTGTTTAAGCAAGACTTAGCTATTCAAAATCTTTTCATCCTACACATTTCATTTTTAAAGGACAACTGATTATTTCACATTATATAATCAAATTTTAAAAAATTAAATTTTAAAAAATTACCAGAAAAAACTACTCAAAACTAGTTGAAAGACATTTTGCTGTCTGCTTAGTAACAAAGTGCACTTTTTGCAGATATCTGCGTGCAGTTGCTTACAGAAATCTGGTGAGGTGGATCTTTGGATACCTTGGTTGGGACACAGCAAGACCATTAACTGTATGTATATACAATTTTATCAGGGAAAAATATAACACCAACAATAAAAAAACTGGCTACAAAGATTCTGCCCAAAGAGAATAACTCCCTTTGTATCCAGTGGTTGCGGGGTTGGGTTACTAACTCAGACCCCCAAATCATAGCGAGATGGTACTTGGACTACTTGTACCAAACAAGAGTGATGCCATAATTTGTCAGATTCGACCCGGTACCGAGACAGGGACGATGGCCACAATGCACGCCTTTCTTCATCATAAACTAGGAAGTAATATTGACCCACGTGAATCTGTTATTTATGGCCCTTCTACATCTAACCAAGTAAGTTTACATGAGAACATTGATTTAATTTCTATTTAAATCAGAAAAATGATACATGCTTATACTTCTTGCATACATATTAGCAGCTATCTAGTTTATGTACTGTTTATTAATGTTATTCCATGTTGAGTTGGTATTTTTTAACCTGTTATAAATTACTTTTGTTCTTTGAATGTGTATCATCATAATCACCAATGGCAACATGCAGTCTATATTTTTATGTTTGCAGATTGAAAGGTGGTGGAGAGAACTCCATGAGAGGCTTGAAAAGTATTTCAAGGAACAGCTAAGATGGCTAAAAAACCGACATTATGATCCTGCTAATGATACACATAGGTTTCACCCAATTATAATTAAGTCTCTTGTAATAGAAATGTATGTGGATGGAAAAATTGTCAAATTTTGATTTAATGGGCAAAAATTATATGATTTTAATTGGCTGTTTTTTAAGAATGGTTGTTTCATTTTACTAGAATGATTTTGGCCTACATCATGATTCCATTACTCCAGAAGAAATTGGGTACTTTTAGAGAAATTATCTGGAATTGCCACAGAATTCGACTGCAAAAAGACACTGTCCTTCCAAATAGAATTCCTGACCACATCTACAGCTTTCCAGAAGAATATGGGCTTGAAGATTGTGGTAAGAAGCACAGAGGTTAAACAAATTAGTTGCCAACAATAAATGATAATATGAACAATGATAAACTTACAGACTAAGATCCAATATTAAAGAATCACAATTTTTAAGAAACTGAAACAAAGTTGGAAAACACAGTGAATTAATTGGAAAATTAAAATGCTATAGTTCAACCTTAAAAATACAAATTTAAAATTGAACATGTTATCTCAATTACCCCATATGAAGTAGCATTATCCAATGTACAGAAATATACTGATAGTAAATTATTCAACAGGATTGACTGTGAATGAAGAGCACCTAGAAGAAGTGGCTATGCATTCAAATGTGCTTCAAGTACCACATGATTTTCTCGATCAAGAGTTCAGAAGGAAATGTGAGGGAGTTGTTTCTTGTAATGAAGTTGGTCCAAAAGATGTAAAAGATGCTTATATAGCTTTGAAGAACAATGTTAGCCTGTAAATCAGTGTAGTTTGGTTATGACCAGTGGCAGACACTTTGTCTTATAACGAGGGACAAGCCTTAATGTTTGATAATAAGTAGCACTTGTCCATTGTTTTAGAACAAAATACCATTATCTTAAAAAACAGTGGAGGGAACTGCCCCCTTTTGCCCAAAGGTGTCTGCCACAAGTTAGAACACATGCAAAACATAAGATTATATTTTCTGTTGCACTGTATTAATGAAATCTAAGTTTATTATATGAAAAGTACTTTTGATGTTGTTTGATGATGAGTATTCATATAAAATATGTTTTATTAAAGAAAAGAATCTATACCTGCTGCCATCATATTTCTGACCCATGATTTTAAATACAGTACTTCAATAATATTCTGTTTATGAAATAAAAAAAGAGTTGATGCAAGTTTTTTGGCCTCAAGCAAAGGGTTTATTTTTCACTGAGATTTAAATAGCTTAAGAAATAAGCTCAACAAATTGAAAACCACAGAAAGCTAAAATAAAAGGTCCTAGAGGGAAATTTTTCAAGATTGCAGATTGACCTGTTTTGATCACTTTGAAAATTAAGCTATAATGCCTGCCAAAAGTCTTGGTACACTAATGTCTGCTTTCCAGGGAAAGTACAGCTAATATTTATCTTAATTATCAACATTATTTAAGGGGGTATGGAAATCAGAGTATTCTTTAAATTTAATTTATTTTGAAAATTTTATTTCGTGACATTGGATTCTCATCGTCGTATTTCTTTGTTCCTGTATATCTTTTATTTTAAAATCTCATTGCAAGATTCACAGAATCCGGCAGACAGCCTATCCTGTGGTTCTTCCTTCTCACACATTTTTCTAGTAAAGACTTGAAAAATATAAAAAGGTGTTCCAAGTTCTTTTGGCAATGATTGTAGCTGTAGGACCCAACAAAACCAGCTTTAATTTCTAGGGACATAACAATAAGATACAAATAGACATGGGCCAAAATAAATATTGAATCCCACTGTTGCTTTTCAATCACATGTACTAGACTTTTCAATTACATGCTTTTCAATTACATGCATTTAACTAAGTGACTTTAGTTCTAGTAGCTTGCAGTAGTCATTGCATTTATGTGTTTCCAAAAAATTTTATTGCCATGCTGCCAAGATTGCCTGTTGTAAAAAGAAATTCCTGACCATCAACATGATCTTTCGAAGCTATTTCTGGATCAAGCATTGAATAGCCACAACCCTGGATATCAAGGACCATCAACTTCTCATCAGATTTTGAGTAAGAATAATGTGCAAGGCTTTGTGCTTTTAGACATAGCTCTGAAAGACATTCAGAAATTATTCCATTGTTATTGATGTGTTTTTCCATAGTCAATAGAAAAGGAATGGTTAGGAAAGCAACGGCGGAACAAAGGATTTTGCAAATTATGTTGAACTAATGGTCACGTGACGACGAACCGGTAAGGTTTTCTATCGCAATGGCGACAAACAGTGAAGTGAGTGAGATCGAAGCGCTTCCCGATGACGAATTTACATTTTCAGATTCGCTTATTTCAACTATTGATTTTGTTTTTGATGATGAAAGTCTTCCTACCACATTCATTTTGGACGATGATGTTATTGAACTGATTGGTGCGCAAGAATTTCCTTGCAATTTGAGTCAACGAATCTGCCGATCAAAAAGTGGCCTAGAAGTTCACATTGAGAGGAATCATTATTCTTTACCAAAAGAGCCATTTCTCAAGGCTGAAGACTTTGTTGTCATTGCTAGAGAAATTAAGGAGAATGCATTGAAGGAAAATATGTACAGTGCGGAATTAATTGAAAGACTGCCAAGTGAAGTTCCCCTACGGCTCCAGTCGTTCATAAACAATTTGTTGTCACATTACAAGAACGACCATGATAGCTTCTATACAAAATATTCAACGATTTTTGTGAAAACGCTCGAATTTTTCCCTGATAGAAGTGTGGAAGAAACAAACTTATTCCTTTTAAAGTTAGCGACAGCCGTGCTGTATCACGTAAAGAAGGGAATGCTCGGTGATGTGGAGAATTCGTGTGACAAGGGCCTAAGACAGGAAGAGCGGGATCCGTTGGCCTATGTTGCCGGTTCAGTTCTCAGCCAGATTTATAAAAAGGCTGTTTTTCACAAGAGAAAAAGCCCGTGGCAAGAAGAAATCAAATCTCTTTTTGCCAAAACTTTATCTGTGGAAACTTCCCACAATGCCTTCATTGCAAGCATGGACAGGGGCGGTTTGTGGGCACCTTCAACAAAGCTGATGGGAATCATTGAAATAGTGGAGAATACATTCAGAAGGCTGACCAAATCCACACCAAGGTCCATCCCTATTGATGATATAACGAAATCTTGCCTTTGCCACCCATCTGTCATCTCAATTTGGAATTCTATCATGTTGGACCATGATGAAAACCAAATAAGCACTGAATGCAGTGATCTTTGTTTACAAATGATAATCAAATTGTTTGTAAGAATTAGAGGTTTTTCCCACACCAAAGACATTTGGAAAAGACATCTGGCTCAACAACCCCTTGAGAAAAAACAAAAGGCACTGAGGAAAACACTGAAGAAAAAGGCAGAGGAAAGCCAACAGAAATAATTTCGTTTTAATATTAACTGACTTACTTGTAACTTGTTGTATCAAAGGAACTAGAAAAATATAAAACATCTCTACAAGAAGTTTAGATATTTTGTCTATATTACTTGTTTTTATAAGACTTCACTCTACCTTATTGTAATTTTGTCCATACCACAAACTTTGGGGGCTTTAATCTGGAATGTTTTTTATTAACCCCAAGATCTAATTCCAGGGGGGGATTAAATGAAATTAAGGTCTTATATCAAATAATAAGTAAGTTGCCATACAAATACCTTTTTAAAGCTGGTACAAACTTTTAGCTTTTTCATTTTCAATTTGATATGTGATTGGTAATAGACTTCTTGTATCCTAAGACTTATTAATAAAAATCGATAAACAAATTGACAGTTACTTTTTAAATTGTTTTGTTGGAAGTGGTTCATCACTCACTTTTGACCATTTCAGTGAATGTTTGCCCCTAACATTGCCTTTTGGTGCTATTGTTCGTTGCATGTTAATAATTTGGTCATTGTAACCAAATTCGCTGGCCATCGGGTTATCACATCTTCGCCCATGGGACCTTTGGTAGCCAAAATATTCTTCCAGCACATCTTGCATAAACCTCTCTGTCAAAACATACTTTACACCGTTCAGTAAAAGAAACCTGATAAGCTCAATTATCGAGTTAACTGTAATTTTGTACCCCTCAAATGTTTGTTTGGAGATAAACATTTTGCTTTTATCTTCCTTGGAGATCTCATCAGTTTCCTCTATTGTTTGTAACCATTTCTCAAAGTATTGCAAAAAGCAATCCTTCATCCATGCAAGGCGTGGGTCATCCACCGATTTAAATGGCTCTAAATTGCTGTTTCTCTTTCTTGTGCACTCTGTGGTGGATCTCACATTGCACATGTCAAAGAAATCATTGATCAGAGAGCAAAGCTTTGCTGTCTCATCTGCCTCCCCATTTGGGAAATAATGTGTCAGCGCAAGTGACATTGTCCTACTAAGGACTTGAACAGCATATGATACTCTCATTTTACCAAATGGGGAAATATTTATATGTTCTGGTCCAATTTTGACAAGTCTATGAAGACCCAGCTCAAGATCCTTGTGATAGGCTTGGGCAATATGGCTCCATAGCAAATGCTTGCCATTATTCAACATCAGGCGCTTTGAATTGGCCCATAAACCAGAAGACAACAAACAATTTCTCGTTGTTTTTATCAAATGTGGAACATCAGAAAGAAAATAGATCTTTCGTTCTGGTGCTGCAATGTTGATTGTAAAATAAATTGGATCTTGGTTTAAAATGGTAATTTTTGCATTTTCCATTGACATATTTCTGTGCATTCTAAAAAAATTTCTGTTTTGACTAGCACCATCACAAACAGCAAAGACAACCCACAGATTCAATTTAAATTCCAGCATGAACACTGCTTCCCAGAAAATGGGCCATAACTGACATGAAGTTACTCCAGATGATCCTGTAAGATAATAGCTCAGGACTGATTTCAACGATGAACAAACCCCGCAAACAAGAAACACAAGAGCGTGTGTGGCAAACTCATTACAATCATCAAACAAAGTGAAATCAACCATTGGGTCACCAAGATCAGTGTAACCAATCAGATTGCCAGTTGTTTTGTCAAATACTAAACCAGATGAAATTTTCATCTCATCAAGGGCAATGCCAACATATCGTTCTGCACCAGATAAATTTGCAGCAGCACTTTCCATTCTGCTTACATTGCCAGCAGTTAGACCTGGCTTTGGTTCAAATGCATGTTTGTAATTTCTAAGGCACCTTTGGCTTGGCAAGATCAGCATTTCAGATAGTTCATCATAGGCACTAGAACTCTTTGCTTGTATAGATAAACAAAAGCGTATAAATTGTGGGTGATATCTTCTTGCCATTGGTGTAACTTGGCATAGTTTTTGTTGCTCTTCCCACATTAACTTCATATGAGGAGTAATTTCAATGGCTGCTTTTTCAAAAATTGATGACAGGTCTGAATGCAATTCATCACTCACATTACAACCACTTTCATTTATTTCTTTTCTTAACCTTTTTAATTCAGTCTCCAATTGGGAACATTTTAGGCGACTTTCTCGTACTGTCATGATCAGTTTTTCTTTGCTGCATGCTGACAAAGGTGCCTTCTTCTTTGCTGGATAAATCTTCTTTTCGGTTACCACATTAGAATTTCGCTTTTCTGCCTCAATCAGTGACTCACAAGGAGAGCACAAAGCACTGCATTTGTTTTGTAAAAGTATAATACAGGCTTTAATCCGCACAAAATTCTTGCAGAGAAATGGGAGGGCAGTTTCATCATGAGATGGTATCTGTGGCACTACATGATTAAGTGTATTGTTGCCAGTAAACCCGGCAGGTAACCCATCACAGACAGGAGCACTATCTATTGAAGATAAAAATTTTGTAACTCCATACTGTTGAATCTCAGGCACATTAATTTCAGGCAATCTCCATCCATAGTAAAAGCCTGCCACAGAAAATTCATCATAAATGCTCACATAAAACCGGGGCACCCAAAATTCTTTGTCAGCCAAGGTGAAATTCACCTGACGATCTGTAACTTCATAAGACCAGGGATGAATCTTCCAGATTTCAACTCCTTTTATAAATTTCGAAAAGGATGTGTATTTCCCCTTCAATGACAAATCCCTGACAAGCGACCGGCGTTCTTCTTTCACCTCACCATCGTCTAGCGACTTCCTAGGCAAATTTATGCTGGGAACTGATCCTGTGCGAAGTACTTTGCGCGTAGGAAATTCGTCAATATCGCTCGGGTTAAAATGTGTTTCACACAAATAAAATTTGTTCTCTTTAAACTGTCTGTCTAGATCGCTGTCCCTTACACGTGTTCGACAAACAATTCTTATCCATTCATTTCTCGCAGTAATCTTTTTCTCTTTCGTTTCTTCGCTGTCTCTTTCGTTTGGTGACGGAATTTGGAAAAAGGAAATTTTAGAAATCGACGGATCTTTTCTTCTTCTACTTAAATCGGTAGTTCTGTTATTCGTACATCCATAAAAACCACAGTTTTCACCCGGCATTTCGCATCGTTCAATAATTTTGTGACTTGGTTAGGCCAGGTTTACTTCCCGCTTCGTCGTCACGTGACATAGGAAATCGCAAACAATAACATCGCTGTTGAAAGACAAAAGCTTTCCTAACCATTCCTTTTCTATTGACTATGGTTTTTCGAAATCACCTGAGATGAACTCTTCAAGGGTGACAAATTCATCATTTAATTTGCCCAAGATCAACTTCTTGTATTGCAAGGTTGGACCATATTCTTCCAGTTTTCCAAATTTCCTCAAATCAGCTTCGAGTTTCAATCCAAAATTTCTTGCAAGCATGTGCATCTGCATCACTTTCTTGGTGTGTTCGCCTGTCTTTTGATTGGTTGTTTTGATAACATCAACACCTCTTCTAAGATAGACTTTTTAACCACCCAGTTCTGAACACCATCCAATGACGATAAACTGGTGGCCTTGTAGGCAATTCTAGAGCCACCAGCCCCAAATGGATCGCTTTCAACTTTGAATTCCACTATTGTTGGATTTCTGGACCAGACTAATGTTTCCAATTCGAAGCAAAATAATTCTGGGATTTGGTCAACAGACCTGCAAGAAGGGCCTTGTTTGCCTGCAAGGATATCACAGCGTTTTCTTCCGGTCAACGTTGGCAAGAAGTGGCTGCAACAGGCACTTTTTATGTTTTCAGGTGTAACTTCTTTGAATTTGAAACGCACTAATTCTCTAGGCCCCATCCGAGAGTACTTTTGAGCCTTCCCACTCACTTCAGCACTCAAATGTTGGACAACTATTTCTTCCTTTTCAAGGATATCATTAATTTTGGCATTATTTCCATTCCCTGTTCGCTTTTCTTTCATCGCAATTTTATAATTCTTCCACATTTTTCCAGCGGGAATGATGAATAGAACTGACTGAACTGAATTGACAAAATTGACGGAAGGATGGGAAACCTTTTTTTGGCAGGAAACCCAGCAATAGAATCTCGATCGAGGCTCTAATGGAGGCGCAAAGCATTATGGTATACTGTGGCAGCGATAGGGCAGAAGGAATTCAATTTGCATGCAGTTTTGTTTTCAGTATTAAATGGCAAATGATTTTGTTTTGATTTTGATATAAAATTGGTAGTGCGAATTGACAATGGTAGGTCACGAATTTTTTGCTCCGCGTTTACTCCATCGGCTAACTTATTTATTCTATGTTTGTTTCTAATAAAAAGAAAACCAGTTCAATTTAAGTATCGTCTTCTCAATACATTAATGCAAGATGACAGAGTCTGTGACCTTTATTGTTTGTAAAGAGCTGCTCGACATGCAGGAGAAGTCTTTCAAGGCCCTCGTCACCATGCTTGTGGACGGACTGAAAGCTGATGTCAAAGATATTAAGTTCGAGTTGAATGAGGTAAAGAACAGCCTAAACTTTTCAGGCAGGGATATCGCTGTAATCCAAGATAGAATTAAAGTGCTCAGCAATCAGCTGAAGGAAGTAAACGTCCAGGTCTTCAACCACCATGAAAGCCTAGGCCATGTCCTTGGCAAACAGGAATACCTCGAGAACCAAAGCAGACAAAATAAGGTGTTTGTGACTGGCATTCAGGAAAGTGGTAAAGAAAGATGGGATGAGACTGAGGATGTTCTGAAATCAAAAATTAAGGAGCTTCTGAAGATCAATGACGACCTAACTATCGAGAGAGCACATCGTGTCAACCCAAAACCAAACAGAAGGCATGGGTCGTATGGAGCTCGTGGAGGTCGCAAAGAAGATCGCAGTAGGCCAATAATTGCCAAGTTCCTGAATTGGAAGGAAAAGGAACGTGTGTTAGCTGCTGCCAGATCAATAAAACCAGATGGAGTTAAATTTGTGCAGGATTCCAGTCAGGCAACGCTGGATCGCAGGTATGACTTGAATAAAGACAGTGCAGATTATGAAGCTGTATGGGTTGAGGTTGAAAATGTGACAGAGAAAAACTTTCTGTTTTGCTATTTGTATCGTCATCCAAACTCTAATCCTGTTAACCTTAGCACCTATTTACAAGAAGTTCTTTCTAATCCTGCTGTCTCAAATAAACAAATTTTTCTTCTTGGGGATTTCAACCTTGATCTTCTAAACTATGACTCTCGCACTGCAACTGATGAATTTGTCAATTTGCTCCTTTCCAAGCAGTTTTTGCTATATGTTATACATCCAACTCGAGTGTCTGATAATTCTTCTACAATTATATATTTTTGCCAATGTACTTGATCAAGAAACAAATTAGGAAATCTTCTAATGTAAATGTCATAAACAAAATGAAAAATTCTAATGGTGCCCTCACATCTGATCCTGCTGTAATTGCTAATCTATTCAACACATTTTTTGTCAATGTCTCTCATGAGATTACTAAGAAAATACCAGGAACCACAAAGTCTCCCTTGGAATTCATCGGTAAAAGTATCTGTGACTCTTTTTTCATTGCCCCTTCAGTTCCTTCAGAAATATCTGATATTATCAAAAGTCTGGTAAGTCTTTGGGTCCCAACAGCATTCCAATTAAGCTTCTAAAGCACCTGTGTCCCCTGATAAGTTTACCACTCTCTCGAATCATTAATGAATCTTTTCAGTCTGGTATATTTCCAGACAAGATGAAACTTGCAAAAGTTATCCCACTGTTCAAAAAGAGTTGTTCAGTTACTGCTTCTAACTATCGTCCCATTTCTCTCTTGTCTGTTTTTAGCAAAATCCCTGAAAAAGTTATGTATAAGCGTTTATATGACTTCCTAGAAAAGCACAGCATTTTATATTCATTTCAGTTCGGATTTCGTGAAAGTCACTCTATTAATAATGCTTTAGTCAGCATGACAGAAACTATAAAAAATTCACTTGATAACAAGAAATTTGGCTGCGGGATCTTTCTTGATTTACAGAAACTATTTGATACTGTAAACCATAGCATTCTTTTGATGAAGCTTGAAAACTATGGAATTCGAGGACCTGCTTTAGAGTGGTTTAAATCTTTCTTATCAGGTAGAGAGCAATATGTTACTGTGAATGGGTCTAGCTCCATCCGCTTAAATGTTACATGTGGAGTTCCACAGGGTTCTGTTCTTGGTCCCCTCCACAGGGTTTTCCTAATTTTTATTAATGATCTACCAAATTCATCATTTGTACTCTCCTTCTACTTATTTGCGGATGATACAAATATCTACTTTGAAGCTGAAAATCTTGATAAGCTGCAAAGAATAGTGAATAATGAGTTAAAAAAGGTTAAACAATGGCTTGATGTAAACAAATTATCATTAAACATCGATAAAAAAAATATTTAAATCTCCTCAACATTCATCATTGGGAACAGTAAATATCAAAATTGGAAATCAACCAGTAAAACAGTCTAGATATGTAAAATTTCTTGGTGTTCTTTTAGATGAAAATCTTAGCTGGAAATACCATTTATCTGAACTTTCTAAAAAACTGGCTAGAACATGTGGTATGTTTTTCAAGATAAGACACTTTCTTCCTGTTGATGTTATGATCTGTCTGTACAATTCATTATTTTCTTCCTTTCTTCAATACGGTATAGTAGTATGGAGACTTACATATGATGTTGATATCAAGCCTATATACTTGTTACAAAAAAGAGTGGTAAGAGCTATTGCATTCGAGCATTTTACTTTACCCTCCACTCCTGTCTTTTCTGACTTGAAAATCTTGAAGCTTCAAGATCTTTTTCAGTTAAAATTGCTTTGCTTTGTTTATGATTGTGTCAATAAGAATTCTCCTAATTGCTTCCTCAATTGTTTTGAATCCGTATCAAATGTTCATCAGTATGGTACACGGCAAGCCTCAAAGAATGACATTTTCTTAACTCGAAAAAATACTTTGCAATATGGTATCAGGTCTGTGCGTTTCTCTGGTGCTAAATCTTGGAACAGCATTCCAGTTGACATAAAAAGATCATCATCTGCTTTCAGTTTTCGTCAAAATCTTCGAGCCTTTTTATTCATGAAATGTAATCAAAGTTGATCCTAAAGTGATAAATATTGTTCTGTCTCTCAGTCAATGAATAAATAAGATTCAGAACCATCTTAAAAAAGGGTGCTCTCTCCTCAATTGGTTTATCTATTGAGAGAGCTCCTCCTAAAGAAATCCCCCTGCATGCAACATCTTATGTAAATTGTTATTTTTTGTGTATTTTTCTTAGTATGTTTATGTAATTTGTAGTCATTCTATGTAAGTTGTGCTTTTATTAAGATATTGTATGTAGAGGAATTTTAAAATATATGAACTGAACTGAAAAAATCAATGTTCTTTTAAAATGAAAATTGATTTCAATTTACTTTTATTGCAGAATTTGATTTGGTTTTAATTTGTTTTTTATTTAAAAAAGTATTTTATTTTAAAATAGAAATCATTTTGCTTTTAAATCAAATTTATTTTCATTTAATTCTACTTTATTTATTAAAAATTGAATGGCAGTGATAGGCCACCATACAGGAGCTTTTGGGAAATTTGCTTATTTCTTGCAGATGAGACCTTGCAGCTATCGATTTGCTAAATGGGGCAATTATGGAATAAAAGTTTTGATTGAGTGTAAATTGGAATATGCAATGTTTTCTTTCTTTCACAATTGAACTTGAGCTTTCAAAACTCAATTTCATTCCCTGAAGATATTTGAAGAATTGGCGTGTACAAATCCGGGAGAATTGTTTATTGGTTTGTATGAATGATCCCTGTAAAGTCCCAAAGCAAAAGTCCCTGTAGGAGAGCCACGAACACCTGAGGCTGATACTACCCACAATAGAAGAGCATTGACACAAGAAAATGTTGTTTTGGAATCTTCCAATCAAAAATACCACTTCGCAAATTTATCACCATCTGTAGACTTAATTGTTGATATTCCTCTTGAAGTCATAAGTTCATTCTTTTCAAAATATAGTTGTTGGAAGAAAAGATTCAATATTTCAACCTTCAGATCCTCTTAGACGTATTTGAACTGTTTTAAGTTTTGAGAACACATAAGTTCCCCCCCTACCTATGCTTATTTTCAGATGGGGGTATTGATCACAGTGTGACATTTTTGTTTGTTCAATGCATGCTTCTGCCCCTTTTTAAGATCCTTGATATAGACTTTCTGAATGCTGGGTGCTGAGCACCAAACCAATCATTCGTTAATCCTGCAAGAAAATGCATGGCAATTCTCAAAACTGGAATGCATGGCCTAGCATTGGAACTCGATCACTTGGGTCTTTTCCAAACTGTGATAAAGAGCTGCAAAAGTATGAACGATGTGTTGCTTTTATTTTGAATTTTATTTTGTTTTTATTTTGACCCGCGCTTAGCTTGCTTTTATTTTGAATTGCGAAGTTCCCCACATCCAGGTGAGACTTGTCAAAATATCGAAAAAACATGGAAGAGAATGGAGAAAATAAAACTAATTCAGCAGAAAACGCTTGCCCTAGTATTTTTCAAAACTCTAGCACGGGCATTGGAATCAACGAAGAAGCTGTGGACAATATGTTAGCCACCCCACAAGCAGATGATGGGCCTAAGAAGACCGTCGAGAGCCGCGGAGGTCCTGGCGGGTTCACTTGCTGCGTTCAAAATTGCTTTAATAATAGTAAGAAGTACAGAGATCTGGCATTTTAAGCTTTTCCAAATGGGAATAGCAAAGAGAAAAAGATTTGAGGAAACGCTGGATTCATTTGATCCACTGGAAGAACTTTGAGCCAACCTGCAGGCACAGGATATGAATATCAACTTTGTCGCAAACTGAAGTGTGGTGCTTTCCCCTACAATTTCGGCAACTTCCTTTGCTTGGACAGACTGATGCTTTGTGTCCACTGCTTTTACAATTAAAACGCAATCTTTTTTGCCTTAAAATTTCTCTTCTCTCGCCCACTTTTGCCACTGGTCATCTAATCTCATCAAGTCAGCTGGTATTCCTTCTAGCTTATCCAATGTGAGCCTTGTGTAACCTGGAATTGATTTCAGTCTCCCTAATGATTCAAGTGCTTGTACACTTGGCAACAACTTGTTGAAAAAATCATGGATTTTGTGTGGGTGTGACCCCTTATCACTGGTAACTCAATAATACACTGTTCATGTGCATTTATAATTCCACTTGGCCTGCCATACTTAGACTTCAATATTTGTTTAGCCCTCTCGTAGCCCTCACCATTGTGAATCAAATTCTCAATGCTTATGCATACTTTTTGGTCTATGAATTCTTTCAAGTAATTAAACTTAGTGACAGGGTCTAGGTTTTGCTTATCAACTCCAGTCTCGAACTGATTCAAAAAGTGGAACCAGTCTATATGTGTTCCTTTAAACTTGGTGATACTTAGCTTTGGAAGCTTCACTGCGGTTACAGGCTTTTCCCCCACGAGGGATCTCCCCTTCAATTCAACTAATTTTGCCTCTAGTTGTAATCTTTGCTCAAATTTTTGTCTTTCTAGCTCTAAATCTACTTCTTCCACTTTCTTTTTTGCGTCATGTTTGAAACTTTCAATAATTTCTTTCATACCTGCAGCTATGGGCTGAAACTCCTTCAGTCTTTCCTCAATTCCGATTCTCCATTTCTTTATTTCACTGGGGATTTCCCCTTCCTCTAGTTTCAATTCTTGTATTTGAATTTTCAGCTCCTGAATTTCGTGCAATTTTGTTTCGTATACTCTAGACTGTCTCTCGATTTCCTTTTGATCCTTTCTCTGCATAATTTCGTCAGTTTCTTCGTTCAGATACGATAAAAATCCAAGCTTTTTGTCGATTTTCTTGACAAACTCTTCCACGACAGCCATCTTGAATTCACAGTCTTGAACTCACTTATTATGGAATTTCACTCACTTCTCACTTTCTCCCATCTGGGTGGTGCCACTGTATCGCGAACTTAGAATGTTGTAAGGCGATAAACTCACAAATAACTCGAAATAGAAATTATATATTTCTTTCAAGGTAAAAAAACAATAACAAACTGGTTATATACTCTCATCGCACACTTGCTTTTTAAGAATAGTAAAAGTAATGTTTCTGAAGCTCCTCACCCCCAAGCGCTCGCTTCTTCCCCGAGGTTAATTATTAGCAGTTTTTTATTCTACACAAATGTCCACCATGGTAAATTCATAGTCGCTGTTAACAACAGCCATCAAGAAAATACTGTGAGTGCCTTTAAAGTTAAAAAACATGGAACCAGAACGTGATGGGGCTTGCATCACCACATGTTTGCCATCAATTGCACCTACACAATTAGGAAAATTCCATTTAACTCAT